GAAGGCAGGAGTGTGAAGAGTTATCTTTGGGCCCCACCTCGTACCCCGAATTTCTTAAGACAAAATGAATCTCCCACCATCTTTCTGGGAAAAGAAGGGCACGAGCCAGAGGCACGCCCCGACTCCGGGGCAAGTAGGGATCTGACCTATTTAGAACTGGTCTTGGCTAGCCTGAAATTTAGCACCGGTTAAGTTCCTGGCTTAATTGGAACACCTGTGCGCTTTCCCAGTGTCTGAAGTTGACAAAGGGGGAAGGGAGCGGAGATGGCTGCGCACTTGTTAGGCTGGTACTGAACAGGAGATAACAGAAGCACTTTCTCAGACGTGGCCAGGTAGAACCGCTGGGGAGTTCTCAGCAGTACACAGAATTCCAACTGGCACTTTGGGAAGCCAGGTGGGGGCTCCTTGCGCCGGATCCCTGAGAGCAGACTGCCAAGGCAAAGGGGCTCTGGGTCCCTTAATCTGCCAGCAGTGCAAAGACAGCGGGACATTTTAGGAGACGCTTAGCTTTGGAGGAGGAGGCAGAGTTATGGCATCCAGGTCTTTCTGACCTTGAGTTTTATTTCCCATGCAATTACTGTGTCTCAGAAGTTGAGGGTTTTGACACTGTACGGGGCATTAGTAAGGAATGGAAGCAATAACTAGGAGTGGTCATTAGAAAGTGTTCTGAGGGGGGCGCCTCCTGGCTCAGTCGGTTAAGTGTTTGACTTCGGCTCAGGTCATGATCTCATGGTTGGAGGAGCCCCACATCGGGCTCTCTGGTGCCAATTTCAGATCCTCTGTCCCCCTCTCTCTGGCCCTCCCCTGCTGGTTCTCTCTCTCTCCCTCCCTCTCTCTCTCACAAAATAAATAAATAAACTTAAAAAAAAAAGTGTTCTGAGGCCTACTGCATATCAAGTGCCAAAATCAATTCCAGGTTAATTAAAAAGTTAAAGAATGAATACCACAACAAAAGAATTAGAAGAAAGTTTAGCTGATCCTAACATGGCCAAGGCCCGTGAAAACACAAAAGCAAAAAAAAAAAAAAAAAAAAAAAAAAAAAAAAAAAAAAAAAAAAAAAAAAGGAAAAACCAATAGTTTGAAATAAACATATACACGCAAAATTAAAAATTTCTGTATAGTTTTCAAATCACCAAAAAAAAAAATTAAACAGGATAAAGTTAACAGGAACTAATGAGTTGGGAAAACACTTGCAGCATATGTGATTACTGGTTAATGTCATTAACACAGAAAGGAAGAAATGGGTGATCACCTCAATGGAAATATGTGAACTGCCAACAAGCACTGGAAAATATGAATTAAATAACAGTGAAATATGATAAAATACCATACAGTTCTTCAGGATTGACTGAGATAGGGAAAAATATAATAGTATTGTCAAGGGTAAAAGAAAGGGGCATCTCAAATATTTATAACTGGAATGTAAATTGGTTTGATTTTTCTGGAGGGTAATTGATAGTTTATATTATTATTTTTTTAATGTTTATTTACTTTTGAGAGAGAGAGAGCATGTGCACACAAGTGGGGGAGGGGCAAAGAGACAGGGGGATAGAGGATCCCAAGCGGGCTCTGTGCTGATGACACTTTAGGTGCTGACAGCACTGAGCCCCAAGTGGGCTCATGAAGTCATGAACTGCAAGATCATGACCTGAGCCAAAGTCGGATGCTCAGTTGACTGAGCACTCAGGGGCCCCGGTAGTTTATATTGTAAACCTTACAATGTGCATAACTTAAAAAAATTATTTTAAATGTTTATTTAGGGGCGCCTGGGTGGCGCAGTCGGTTAAGCGTCCGACTTCAGCCAGGTCACAATCTCGCGGTCCAGGAGTTCGAGCCCCGCGTCAGGCTCTGGGCTGATGGCTCAGAGCCTGGAGCCTGTTTCCGATTCTGTGTCTCCCTCTCTCTCTGCCCCTCCCCCGTTCATGCTCTGTCTCTCTCTGTCCCAAAAATAAATAAACGTTGAAAAAAAAATTAAAAAAAAAATGTTTATTTATTTATGAGAGAGAGGGAAAGACACAGAGTGAGAATGGGGGAGGGGCAGAGAGAGAGAGGGAGACACAGAATCCGAAGTAGGCTCCAGGCTCTGAGCTGTCAGCACAGAGCCTGATGGGGGGCTTGAACTCAAGATCCGTGAGATCGTGACCTGAGCTGAAGCTGGATGCTTAACCGAGTGAGCCACCCAGGCTCCCCAAAATGTGCATAACTTTTGACTCAGCAGTTTGTCCTCTAGGAATTTATCTTAAGGAGATAATCTAGGACGTGCACAGAGACTTACCTACAAGAATGTTTACGACAGTGTTATTTTAACAATGACAAATTCTGGGGAGGGAGTACTGAATGTTAAGATTTGACAGAACTGGGAAGTAGCTACATGGGTCTTCATTATTGTATTAGTTTCCTACTGGAACAAAAAACCGTAAAGTTAGTGGCTTAAAACAATGTACATTTTTTAAGTCACAGTTCTGTAGTTCAAAGTCCGACCTGGGTCTCACTGGGTTAAAACTGAGGTGCTGGCAGGACCGTGTTCCTTCTGGAGACTCCAGGGCAGTGTCCATTTCCAGCTTCTAGAGGCTGCCCGCATTCCTTGGCTCAGGCTCCCCTTCTTCCATCTTCAAATCCAGCAACACAGCATCCCTCAGACCTTTCTTTCATCACCGCATCTCTTTCCCTGACTCTTCGTCTGTGTTCCTCTTCCACTTTTAAGGACCCTTGTGATCACATCGGGCCTACACAGACAATGCTCCTAGTTAGCTAATTAGCAAGCTTAATTCCAGTTGTCATGTAACCATAGGTCCTTGGGATTAATGCTGAAGTCTTTGGGGGTCATTATTCTGCCTACACTACTGTATTATAGTTCCATATACTTATCTTCATAAAATGGTATTTTGTAATATTTAAAAAACCTAAATTCAACGTCCACTTTAGTGTATGGATGAAAGGAGGCTATATATTGATAGTATGAATGCTGTGTGTGCATTAACAGTCATAATGTGGGGGCGCCTGGGTGGCTCAGTTGGTTAAGTGTCCGACTTCAGCTCAGGTCATGATCTCACAGTCTGTAAATTCGAGCCCCGCGTCAGGCTCTGTACTGACAGCTCAGAGCCTGGAGCCTGCTTCCGATTCTGTGTCTCCCTCTCTCTCTGCCCCTTCCCCGCTCATGATCTGTCTCTCTCTGTCTCAAAAATAAATAAAAACATTAAAAAAAAAAGTCATACTGTCGGAAGACATGTAACACGGAGCAATGTTCATTATGTAATGAATGGGGGAAAATAAAGTCTACAAAAGAATATGCACAAGATAACATTTATGTAAAACCCAAACCCCAAGTATATTACTATTTACTATGCAAGTAAATAAAAAATGTTAGGAAGGTCAAAATGTCAATAGTGTTTATCTCTGGATGGTCATTTTAATTTTCTTCAATTTTTCTCCATTTGCCAAAATGTGTGAAATAAAAGGTGACTGACAATGTTATCTAGCACATTTTTCTCCTTGGTATCCTTTTAATTACACTTGCTCACATCCATCCCTCAAGTTCATCCTCATCAAAAATACTTCAGTTCAAAGGGGCACATGCACCCCAATGTTTATGGCAGCGCTATGAACAATAGCCAAAATATGGAAAAAGCCCAAATGTCCATGACTGATGAATGGATAAAGAAGATGTGGTATATACATACAATGGAATACCACTCAGCGATGAAAAAGAATGAAACCTTGCCATTTGTAACAAGTGGATGGAACAAACTAGACGTTATTATGCTAAGTGAGGTAAGTCAAACAGAGGCAGATACCTGATTTCCCTCATATGCGGACTTTGAAAAACTCAACAGATGAACAGAGAGGGAGGCAAACCATAAGAGGCTTTTAAATACTGAGAACAAACTGAGGGTTTGGCGGGGGGGGGGGGGGGGGGAAGCTGAGGGGGGGGAAGTTAAATGGGTGATATATATGGAGAGCACTTTTAAACTGGGGAGGAGGGAACACCTGGGTGGCTCAGTCAAACATCCGACCCTTGGTTTTGGCTCTGGTCACGATCTCAAGGTTTGGTGAGTTCAAGCCCCATGCTGGGCTCCATGCTAACAGTGCAGAGCCTGCCTGGTATTCTCTGTCTCCCTTTCTCTCTGCCCCTCCCCCACCTGCACTATCTGTCTCTCTCAAAATAAATAAACCTAAAAAAAATTAAAGAAAAAAAGGCAGGCACTTTCGTGGATGAGCACTGAGTGTCATATGGAAAAGATGAATCACTTGGTTCTACTCCTGAAGCCAAGACTACACTGTACATTAACTAACTTAAATATAAATAAAAAGAAAAAAAAAAACACACACCACATTTCAAGTCTGGCTCTCAGTGACACCATTTTTTTCAGGCCCCAGTTGTCCGCGGAGGCAGGAAGGAACCATGCGGTGAACTAAGCCTGGCAGCGAATCCTGCTTCTTAAAAACTTCAGGGCGAAGCTAACCCAAGGCACAGCCGCATCCCACAAAGAACTTAACGGGTACCTTGGAAGGTGGATGCTCAAGTATAGGAACCCTTCATAATTTCTCCAACACGGGTTAACGGTTTCGATTGACGCTACTATTTTTTAAAAAACGAACAGAGAACGGCGGCGAGAGCCGGGGGCCTGGCGACCAGGACCGTGGCGGGGGCCACCCACCGCGCCCGCCGGGTTCCCCTATGCCGCGGGGCTCAGGCGGCCGTCAGCGTTCCCCCTCCGCGGCCTAAGCCCCAGGAGGCTTCCCAGCCGGACACACCGCCTGAGCCTCACTCCGGGCACCGCTGGCTCGACGCGCAGCCCTACGGCCGGCGGCCCTGGCCCAGGCACCTGGCTGGTGCGGTTCGGGCTTTCGGCACAAGGGGAACCTCAGGGCCTCTCCCGCAGCCCCTGATCTGCTGACCCGGCCGAAGCCGACCCCCACCACCGAGAGGAGCGCCTAGAGCGGACCGGCCCGCCGGTCCCGACGCTCCGCTCCGCCCAGCCGCCTCTATCCCGGAAGTTGATGCAGCTCGCCAGATCGCGTGCTGCTCGTTAGGGGTGTCGCCTTAGAGATCGGGACTGGCTAGGATTGCGAAAGGATCAACATGCCTGTGAGTTGTTTACTTTCTGGCTTTCCGTTTATTTCGGGCTTCTCTGTCTAGGGGTCCTGGGGGCGGGTTAGCCCGACGCTTCGCGGGCCCGGGGGTCCCTGCCTAACGCATTTCAGGGGCGCGGATCGCGCAGCTCCTCCGCGCGTGGCGGACTTGTTGGGACTTGTCTGGACGGCGCGGCGTGTCGGGCCCTGCATGGGCGTGGAGCGGGGTGGACCCGGGGCCGCCCAGTGCTTAGGTCTCGAGTCCCTAGCTAGGGGGACACAGCTTCTCGGTAACACTCAGCCTTCTTCTGTTTGGGTGGGCGCTCGCGAGACTGTAGTCTTTGGAGTCTTTTTGCTCTCCTTGTGCTTGGTGGTTCTCTCCTCGTCTCGGAAGCGATTTTCTGCTGGTTTCCTTTTTCAAAACTGTCTTCGCAGTTACCTTACTTGTTAACTGCATCAAGGACAGTCAGGCTTCAGCCGCTCAGAGTTCCTGTCAGATCAGATGTTGAACCCCGGGGGCAGAAGTCACCCCCGTGTTGGCACTCTCCGGTCTACCTCAGCGATTTCTACTTTCAGCGGGTGCACGGTTGGGGTCAAGTTCTTACTTAGCACCACAGTGTTGTTTTTATCGGAGACTTACTCAGCGGACTAAAGAAGAACGAGATTAACCTTACCATATGCTTCTTGATCGTCCTAGAGTTCCTTGACCGGGACGTAGAGAACACAAGCATTATAAAAAGTATGGATTAAAGTTAACAGGCTAAAAAAATAACAAGTATCTGACATGTTGCGTCGGCTGAGTATGACTTTATTCTCTTTTTTGCGTGTGTATTTTAAGTCTGGTTAAATCTGCCACCATTGTGGATTCATTCTGGGAATAATAATACGTTTTTTTTATTCAGTTGGCTAGAGATTTACTCCACCCGTCCTTGGAAGAGGAAAAGAAAAAACATAAGAAGAAACGTCTAGTTCAAAGCCCAAATTCTTATTTTATGGATGTAAAATGCCCAGGTAAAATTTCAGATCTTAATTCCTTTCTCAAGGAAAATTTCTGAAGGGATTGCTAATGTGGTGTGTATGTTTAGATCCCTTAGGACCCTTTGTTGACTAGCAGTGGGATTACAGAATTGGAATGTCAAAAGGGACAGTTTCCTAGTAAACTATTCAAACCACAGGAGAAAGATTTGGGGGCGGGGGTGGTGAAGAGGAGACTCCAAAGGGGATATGACATTTGACTTACTAAGTGTGAAGCTATGCAGATGGTTAGTTTTCTTGAAACTAATCATGAAAAGTATGTTGATTCTTCAGTGTAAAGCTGTGCTGCCCACTGCGGTGGCCATTAGCCATAGGCAGCTACTGAGCACTGGAAATGTGGCCAAAATGGGAAATAGTCCTTAAGTGTAAAATGTACACCTGATTTTTAAGATGTAGCACATACACACACAAAAACCATATTGATTACATGTTGCAATGGTAATAATATTTTGGAAATAGTTCAATAAAATATATTACTAACTTCACCTGTTGGCTTTTAAAAACATTTTTTATGTGACGTTAAATATGTGGCTTGCTGTTGCAAACATTAAAGTCTTAATCTTTTACGAAGTCTTTGCTAGAAATATGTTGAACAATATGCTTTATTTTCTTCTGCTTTTCGCTTTCAATTTGCCCTTTTTCTAGGTTGCTACAAGATTACCACGGTTTTCAGCCATGCTCAGACGGTGGTTCTTTGTGTAGGCTGTTCAACAGTGTTGTGCCAGCCAACGGGAGGAAAGGCCAGACTCACAGAAGGTATGTCATTTGGCCGTTTCTAACCCAGTGATGAGATTTTATGATTATAAATGTCTTCCTTTGCTAAAAACCAGTTTAAAAGAAATCTTAAATTCATTATTACCAAAATAGTTGTATCTTTCATCGTATGCTCTTTCAGTAAAGAGTACCCTGCTCAGATGGCTAAGTTTATATTCTTGACTTTGTAAAGAACTCATGTAACTATTATTTTTCTTACTTTGGAACACCTAATTCTGTTACAGTTAGTCATTTAGTTTGTTTAACGTGGAATATTAAACATAAGTCAAAATGGAGCCAAACAATAACTACATACAATAGGACATACAGATTTTTAAAACCATAGAATTTTAAAAATTCCATCATAAATATTTTGTTTCATATATAGTTGACGCATTTGACTGAAGACAGTTTTTATCGTTGCTGGCTAAGCAACAGAAAACTAACGTATAAATTAAAATGCCAGAGGTTTTGATTTGTGAGTACCTGCTTAATTAAACATCTCATTTAAAAATTTTTATTTATTTATTCATCTACTTATTTAAAGACTTTATTTTTAAGTAATCTCTACCTCCAGTGTGAGGCTCAAACTTAACAGCCCTGAGATCAAGTCACATGCTCTACTGACTGAGGCAGCTGGGTGCCCCTAAAAATCCCGTTTGAGTTGCTCTTTCACTTTTGTGCACCAAGAAAAAAAAGAGTAATTATGAATATTGTTTTCCATAGTAGTACTTATAGATTTATAGTTCCATAATTATATTTGAAATTTGCTTGTGATATTTTGGGGAGTTGTGAATTCCATATTGTTCTCACCAGAAGAGTTATAAGTGGTTTGGGAACTAATCTAAAATCTATTTTGTGTGAGCTGGTGAGATCTAAGTATGAGGTCAGCATACAATATTTAAGTGTAGTGTTGCTCTCAAAAGTATACTTGCAAAAGAGTTTTTAAACCTTTATATCATGCCATGATCTTGGAGTTTTGTGCCCATGTGCTGATGGATGATTAATAGGGTATTAGAGTTTTCCTAGCAGACTTGAAGAGCATCCTCATCAAAATTAGTTTCTTGGGAAGTGATTCAAAATAATTCCTAAAAACTAAGATTGCATTTTCTGATAGCTGGCGTTAAAGTTTTAACTGTTGAATTTAGGCTCATGGTCTTATGTAGACTCCAACATAGCATTTGAGAAACAGGAATAATAGTTATAGTCACATCAGAATAAATTCAAATGTACAAGATTTATTATAATAAAGTTCTAGTATAAAAGGATAAATAACGTATATATGAATGTTAATCTAATATTCCTAAAACTTTGTTTTTTTTAACTTAAAAAGTACTTTTTGTCATTAAAACTATACTAGAGATAGAGTACACTTGTTTAATGTGCTCTTGTGATTCCTTTGCAGGGTGTTCATTTAGAAGAAAGCAACACTAATGATCACACAACCTCTTGAATTTGTGTTCTATCGCAGAAAGCCTTATCAGTTCAATAATTCCGGTTAATCTACCAAGATAATGTAATTATGTTTAATTTTGTAAGGTATACAACAGTCATCTCCTATTTTGGTGTCAGTTTTTCAATAAAGTTTTGATTATGGGCAAATTCCCCTTTTTATTTTTTTTAAAGTATGTGTGAATATGCTATGTGTTTATATGTATACTGTGTGAATTTGGTATAAACATTTTAAGAAGTGTATTCTGATTAGTTTGTCTCATTTCAGGACTGGAAACCCTAAATATTTGATTTTCAGCCCTTTTCCAAATTGCTGTGAGTGGGCTAAACAATTAAAAAATGGAAAGAAGTCCATTATTTGTTAATTCTAAAAATAGTTTGCTATTGTAACTATGGAAACACATTTACAGAAGTACATATTTAATGCTGTAACAATCAGTATAATTACAGAGTAATTATAATGTAATGGTTTGCGTTTTTGTGACCCTAACATGCTGTATAATTTAGTAGAATAACTGCAGCTGGGGTCTGAGTTATAGGAAGCTCCTTTTGGGGTAGGAAATTTGAGAGGAGACATCAGGAGTAGCATGATTTACCCCAGGATGTCCTGGTTGGGAATGGTAGATGGCATGGAATTCTCTGATCCAGACACATGAGCACACCTGATTACAGATGCGTGTTGAGTGGCTCTGGTGTCTCCTTGTCATTTTGATTGTTTATGGAGTGATCCTAGGGAGCTAGAAAGTGGAGTGTATCTCCCTCTAGCCACATTGGACTGCTTGTATTTGACTTGTTACCTTTAAAGTAGGCACTTAAGATGGGCCTTTGCTATCAAGAGATGTTTCTATATATTCACCCCCAATCTGGAAGGCTGATCCTTAAACATATTCATATACAAGAGGAATTTGGAACAAGAACTGAAAAACTTGGGGCACCTGGGTGGCTCAACCTGCTGAGTGTCCGACTCTTGATTTCTGCTCAGGTCACGATCTCAGGGTCTTGGGATTGAGCACTGCAGTGCCCTCTGCATTGGGCTCCATGCTGAGTGTGGAGCCTGCTTGAGATTCTCTTTCTCTCCCTCTGCTTGCTCTCCCCTGCTTGCCCTCTCTCTCTCTCTCTCTCTCTCAAAAAACAAAAAACAAACTGAAGAACTATCCAAAGTTTGGAATGTATTTAATATATGGAGAAGTAAATAACCCAAACGTTTCCAAACTTGCTTGGTTTATGGTATCTTTAGAGTCTCAGTAATTTTTTCAGAGTTCCTTGGCCAAAACAAAACAAAACAAAACCTAACAGTTAACATTAAGTAGTTAGGTTCTAATGTAAATTAAAAACAAAAGTGGTATTTTTATCTCATTCTTAAATGACCACATTAGTAATCGAATGGGTGTCCCTTTTGGGCACTGCACGGTTTCTCAAAATTGGGATCAGACTAGACAACTGCCATCTCCTTTCTTCCACACTGATTTTTGCGTAGTACTTGCTTTTTATCACAGCAATGACCCAAAACCCAGCTTCGCAAAGATATGACATCATCAGGGGTGCCTGAGTACCTCAGTTGGTTAAGCATCTGACTCTTGATTTTGGCTGGGGTCATGATCTCATGGTTCTTGAGATCGAGCCCTACATTGGGCGTTAGGCTCTGCACTGACAGCGTGGAGCCTGCTTGGGGTTCTGTCTCCCTTTCTCTGTCCCTCCGATGCTCAGCTCTCTCTGAAAGTAAACATGGAAAAAAAAAAGATCTGATACATCGAAAGGAATGTGGTGTCACATATTAACTACCTGGAACTACAAGTTGGCATGGTATCCAAAAGATACCCAGTATCAAAGCTTTTCTTGTGCCTCAACTCACCTCAGTTTGCACAGTTCAGGAAACTTGGCCCCATGGAGAGCCAGTAGGGATGGCAGCCTACTGAAATGGAAAGGAGCAAAACCTGTGATATCTAATCTAGAGGGCAAATCCCTGAAAATTTCCTTGGAAATGGTACTGAAAGAAAGGGTTTGTGCTTCGAAAAACATATCCAAGGATCAAGTTATGGAGATACTTGGCACTGGGAAGTGAATGATGTATTGACTTTTACTTCATTATTAATCCAAACGGTATTCCTGGGTTTGAAAAATATGCAATAGAACACTAGGACTTTTACAAATGTCAGAGTCTGCCAATATACCTTGTTATTTACTGAATGCTTTTCTTTAATACTCTTACTTACATTGACTTCATTTTTTAAAAATGTAAACTTTTTAAAAAAGGTTTTAAGTAATCTACACCGAACATGGGGCTCAAACTTAAAACCCTGAGATCAAGAGTCACATGCTCTAAGGCCTGAGCCAGCCAGGTACCCCAGATGTAAACAGATTTTTAAAGGAAAACTTTCCTCTCTTCTCTAAATATAAAATCCAGTTACAGAACGGTAACAAAATAAAATGGATTCTTGGCTCTGACCTGATCAGATGACAAATGGTTTCTTACCTGGTGGCGCCTGCAAATCATCCAAAAAAGTTCTGGTTCTTATCCTTGTTCTTGTCCTTGTTCTTCTTCATACGATGTATATAGAACTCAACGTTGAACAGTGAACATTTCATTCAACATGAAACGCAGTGTTTTTTAGTATATCCACAAGTTGTGCAGCCATCACATAGTCTAATCCCAGACTATTTCCTTAGTTCATGAAGAAACTCCATATTCATTAGCATTCACTCCCCATTCCTTCCTTCTCCCAGTTCCTGCAAACACTAATATATTTTCTATCTCCATGATTTTGCCTATTCTGGACACTTTATGTACATGGGGTCACATAATATGTGACCTTTTGTGTCTGGCTTCTTTGGCTTAGCATAATGTTTAAGACGGCCATCCACACTGTAGCATGTATTAGTACATCATTCCTTTCTGTGACTGAATAATACTCTGTTGTAAGAATATACCTTCTGTTTATTCATCAGTTGATGGACAGTGGGTTGTTTTCACTTTTTGCTACTATGAATAATTGTACTATGAACATGTGTGTACAAGTTTTTGTGTAGACATAAGTTAGATTCTCTTGGGTAATATACCTAGGAAAATTGCTAGGTTATAGTAATTCTGTGTTTAGTTTTTTGAGGAAATGCCTATGTTGCAAAAAGGCTGTACCATCTTACATTCTGACTAGTAACGTACAAGAGTTACAATTTCTCTACATCCTCACCGACACTTGTTTTTATCAGCCTTTTTGATCGTGGCCATCTTACTATGTGTGAAGAATTATCTCACTGTGGTTTCGATTTGCATTTCCCTGATGGTTAATTATGTTGACCATCTTTTCATGTGCTTATTGGCTTGTTGTTTTTCTTCTTTGGAGAAGTGTCTGTTCAGATCCTTTACCCATTTTTAATTGGGTTGTGTTTTATTGTTGAATTGTAAGAATTCTTATATACTGTAGATATTGCACATATAAATAATTTTCTCCCATTCTGTGGGTTGTCTTCAACTTTGTCCTTAGAAATACAAACATCTTAAATTCTTATGAAGCCTAATTTACCTATTTTTTTTTGCTGTTTCTTGTGCTTTTGGTGTCATATCTAAGAAATCATTGCCTAATTCAAGGTTATGGAGATTCATGCCTGTTTTCTTCTAAGAACTTTCTAGTTTTAGTTCTTACATTTAGATTTGATCCATTGTGAATTAACTTGAATTAATTGTTACATATGGTGTGAGACAGGGGTTCAACTTTATTCTCTAATTCTTTTTAATGGTTGCATATCATTCTATGGTATGGAAGTGCCATAATTTATTAAGTATTATCCTGTTGATGGGCACTTTGTTTCTAGTTTGTTCCACTGTAATCAAATGCCATAAATATATTTAAATATGTCTTTAGTAAAGGTGCTTTTATTTCTGTGGGTTAGATTTCTGGGAGTGGGATTGTTGGTTAGAAAGATAAATGTATTTTTCATTTTAATAGGTAATACCAATTGCTTTTCGCCAGCAATATATGAAAACATTCTCCTCCTTCTCCATCTCTTCCACTAATAAATGGAATCTAAATTTTTTGACATTTTGATGACCATAAGGTTACATATACATCATTGTTACTCTAATTTGTATATCTGCTTACTGAGGAGTGTGGGAATGTAAAAAAGGCAAAATAAGCTGCTATCTTCCTAGAATTCCTTCTCACTTGCCTTTTCTTAATAACACCAGCAACAACAACAACAACAAATTCTCCATATTAGAAATATGTCTAAAAAGAGTTGGAATGCAGTTTCCTGTTGCTGCTGTAACAAATTAGCACAAATTTAGTGGCTTAAAACAGCACAAACTTAAATGGATCATCAAACTTAATGGATCATCCATGTCTCTAAAAATAAAACAAAACACACACACACACACACACACACACACACACACACACACACACACACACCAGAGACAGGGAGAGGGAGAGAGAGGGAAACAAGGAAAACATAAACTTATTATCTTACAGTTCTGGAGATCAGAAATCCAAAATGGCAAAAATCAAGGTGTTGGTGGGGCCATGTTCCTTCTGGAGGCTCTGGGGGGAGATGTTTCCTTGTCTGTTCCAGCTTCCAGAGGCTGCCTGCATTCCTTGGTCCCTGACCCCACATCTTCCTACCTCTGCTTATGTCATCACATCTCCTCTGGCCTTTACTTCCTACCTTCCTCTTATAACGACATTTGTGATTACATTGGGCTCACCCAGATAATCCAGGACAATCTCCCTGTCCAGGATCCTTGATTTAATAACATCTGCAATGTCCCTTTTGCTGTATAAGGTAACTTATTCACAGGTTCTGGGGATTAGGGCATCCGTATTCTGCCTATCACAGAATACAAAGCTTTAAAATTCTATCCCAGAATTGGAAACTGAGATTCTGGAAATGTGTCTTTGTAATTCTCAGTGGAAAAAAACTTAAATCTGGGCACCTGGGTGGCTTAGTCAATTAAGGATCTGACTCTTGGTTTTGGCTCAGGTCATGATCTCACAGTTTGTGGGATAAAGACCCAAGTCGGGGTCTGAGCTCACAGCATGACCCTGCTTGGTATTCTCTCCTCCCTCCCTCTCTGCCCATCCTCTGCTTAGGTGCCTGTGTGCATGCATGCACGCTTGCTCTCTCTCTCTCCTTCAAAATAAATATATAAACATT